ACTATTGAGACATGGCACTTTATAACTCCTCCCTCTCCCCCTCCCCCCTTTCACTCACACACACATACACACCTACTTGTTTTACCTATTTTGTGACCACTTGGAATATTTCACATCTTAATAAGTTCAGCATGCTTTCAGCTAGAAAATACATTCAGATATCAAAATCTTCGGCTCTTCAAGGACATTCCTACTTGTATTTATTGCATCTCATCCTTCAGATTATTCAATAAAGAACTTCAGCCATTTCTTCTCAATTATTTCAACAAAGAACTTCAGCAATTTCTTCTCATCCTTCAGCTGTTTCAGCAATTGATTTCAGGCATTTTCAGAACGATCTTTCAGCTTATTACCATCCACACGCATTTTTGACAGGAAATGCATTTTTCTAGTTACTAATGACAATGGCAGTGCAGTATTAAATCTCAAGTGGAAGCAGTAGTAGTACTAGTACCAACAGCAGTAGCAGTGCTAACAGTGTTATGGACATAGTAGCAGTACAAGCAATACTAATAGTGGAAGCAGTAGTAGCATTACTAGTAATGGTAGCAGTAGCAGTACTAGTAGTGGTAGTAGTACACACTACAGAGGTTTTACTCCTCCGCTACACATGTGAAGGAACTTTAGACAAAACAGAGAAAACAGTAATGGTCACAGTTTCTGGCCTCCCATGTCCCTGCAATGTGTCTTTAACCAGTGAGACCAGTTGTTTGAACTCTACTGTCCTACTGGCCATTTCCTTGCATGTATCAGGCCTTGTTGTCTCAAGTAAAACTCCAAACTGCTTCAGTTCCTCCTTCTCCACCAAACCTCCTGCTCAGCCAACATGAGGTTAACATGATGTTGCAACCAAGTGGTATCAGTCCGCTTGTATCTGATAAGTATATGAGTACAAGTACTCGAGGACATATTGGGCCCAATATCGGTGCATCTCTACCACAGACACAGCAGGGAGGAGTTTCTTCTATGACCATGTGAATATGATGATATGTGAATATGCCAAGAGAAAGAAAGCAGCTTTTTAGCAGCAGCACCCTCCTGCTGCTGTTGCTAGGTACCTCTGACTCCATAGCGACATGCTTGGCGACTGGGAAGGGGTTACCATGGGGACGACAGATGCACACACACACACACACACACGTACACTCCAGCAGCGTCCACCAGCTCTGTGACATTAACAGCCAGCAGGAGAGGGGTGGTCAGAAAAAACAGATAGAGAGGAAAAGAAATACTGACGAGCAGAAACAACACAGAGAGAAACGGTTTGTCTCTGACATGGAGTGAAATCACAGTATGAAGTAGCTGGACATGTAAGTACTCGGGTGAAGTACAGATACCTGAAAACTTTACTTACAGTGGAGTAAATGTACATAGTTACTGGGCCTCAGTGGCCAGCGGCTGGGTTTCCGGCTGAGGAGCAGCGGTCGCCAGCGCCGGCTCCGCCTGTGGCACTAAACGTGCGCTCAGCGGGGGCCCTGCGATGTCGGGCTCTGCTGGCTGCTGTTAATGGAAAATCAGGGCATTAGTCGCACACACATCTCTCTCCATTGGTCTTGGTTGTCCACATTTTTCAGCTGTGTGGTCATCGCTCTGACACGCACACACACACAGTTCTGAATGATGTGGTTGCTCCTGTGGCTCTGCAGAAAAGATCATTTTAATATCAGTGCTTTATTAATTGCAGCCCTGTGTGTTTCTCTGCATGGCTTTCCACAGTTGTGTGGACACGTTTTAGGAAGACATCTCTGCGCTGTGCAGACACAGTGTCCGGTCCTCCACAGGGCTGTGTGAGGGCTCATACTTGGTGTCAGGGGTCAGGTCAGCACCAGCTTTACATTGGCTAAAGAGATAAATGTGTGTGTGAAGTGCAGGATGGTGAAGTCATTTTGCTGTAGAGTGAATGCCGACCTGAAGCTGCCATGTCTTAGTGAAATGTGGTGTGAGTGTGTGCACGTGTTTGTGTGCCTGTGCTGCAGACTCCCTCCTGTCGTGTGGTACAGCCGTGATTGCTGTCAGGTCATACAGGAGCCACCACAGTCCGTGCACACGAGTTAATGAAAAGAGCGGCAGTCATTAAACACAGCTTCCCTCGCTGCGTTCACTCATTTCTTTACGTGCGTGTGCGTGTGCGTGTGCACACAAGCTGTCAGAAAATCTGGTGCTGTTTGAATTGAGCTGACATATTCAGGACACAACCTCTGTCTATTCAACAACACTGAGGTTAAGTTGTGTTGTTCATTTCACAAAGACTACACACACACACACACACACAGTGCTGAAATGTCCTCACAACCATAGATAGAGACACACAGACACCTGCAGGTAGACCAGGGTCCCATCAGCTTCGAAGCCATTATGTTGTTTTTCCAACTGCTTTTTGTTGGTTACCATGGAAACCCGCATCCACCATGGCAGCACTACTCTGCTGTGTGTGTGTTTTCCATCTCTGTTCCTTTACTCCTCCTGTGCTGAGTCGGTCCTTTGTGGACAGGCCTTGGTTATGTGGCGCCGCTGCCTGTCTCTCCGCTGTGGCGCTGACACCGGCTGTGCGGCTTTGGTTGTTGTGGTACAAATACTGGCCACAGCAGTATTAAGTCTAGTAGCAGCTGATTAGCTGCACTAGCATTAGCTGTAGGGGGCAACGTATTGATCAGTACCATAAGGACTGATTTGCTCTGATACATTATCAATACACACTTATACTGTGCGCTGCTGTTTATTAAACACACTGAGTGTGGGTCTGTATTACGTACGTCATTTTTGCTGTTCCTCCAAAGCTGCCCAGGACACTTTGTCTCCTCTATATTCCTTCTCCTGCTTTAATCAAAACCTCTTCCTGCTTCTGCATCCTAATTACCACAGGACTGAATTTTCTCTTCCCAATTAAAAACTGTCAGACTATTTAAATAACTCGCTCTCTCTGTGTCTCTGTAGTACTGGTACGAAGGGGACGAGGCCGGCGACCTCCCAGTGGATTTCTCTATCGTCTGGGACGGGGATTTCTTCATCGACAAGCCGGCGTCTATGAAAGGTAAAGCAGGACGTTGGAGGACTGGGAACCAGCCTGCGCTCAGACGTGCACTCACTCAGTTAATGCTCAGACATTCACAGAATCAGTGGTTAATGCCAACATATGTGATATGTGATAAGCTAAATCACTATAATAGCAATATTTCAGATCTGTGCTCAAATGCATGAAGGTGAAGGGGGGACTGTGTGGGAGGACGTTAGGACAGCACTGCAGGAGACTCTTTCACAATGCATGCTGGGAGTTTTATGTTAGGACTAGACCCAAAAGAACATTTTGTCAAAAGGGAACAGGTAACCATTGATGTGTGTTTCCAGCCTGTTAGTGTGTGCTGTGGAGAAGTGCACTCAGTCGTTTGTTGTTCTCTGTGCACACATGTACGTGCGCATGAGACAGAAGATGAAACGTGTTGCTTTAAATGCGCAGAAGGAGATTCCACTGCAAACTAATCTCACATCATGAAGCCACTTACTGTCATCAGTCATTTGATTTGCACGGCACAGAAACATTCAGTTACTTCTGCTGCTCAGCACAAAGTTTGATGGTTAATTAAATACCAAGATATTTATATTAGTTTTAGAACTGAAACAATTAATTGGCTGTTGAACACAAATAATTAGCAACAGTTTTGATAATCACTTAATCTTGTGAGTCTTCTTCTGGTTCTCCAGTGTGAACATGTTCAGCTTTGCTCTGTTTTAAATCATATTTAGTGGCTTAAATATAAATAATATAACACCTGTTTAAGACACATGTAAATATTTAATGGCCCAAGGTTTGTCAGATAAAAGTTAAATATATATAGTGTATATAATTCATGGATTAACTGTATAGATCCGTTGATAATGAAAGTACCAACCAGATTCAAACGGACCCTGTTGATGACTTTCCTCCTGGGGTGTGAGGTCAGAGAGCGAGTGACACTGACGTTGTGTGTTTGCTGTGTCGCCCAGCGCTGTTGTACAAGTGCGAGGCTCAGCGCTCCAGCTGCGGCCAGTGTCTCAAAGCTCCTGCAGCCTTCGACTGCGGTTGGTGCACAGAAACCAGGAAGTGTCTCCTGCGGCAGCACTGTCCGGCGCCTGAGCAGAACTGGATGCACCACGGCCGCCACAACCTGCGCTGCAGCCACCCACGCATCACCAGGGTAGGGACCCGCACCACAGTCGGCGCCTGAACACGTTAATGACTGAACACACAGACAGGATGGGGACTAACAGTCGGGCAGTAATAAACAGCTGTTACAGATATTTGACACATGATCATCACATCAGCTGTGTTTGTTGTGCATCAGCTGTACAAAGGGACATTAGACAGCATGGAGGAAATGCTGAGTTTGTCACCAGCAAACTGTTACTGACACACCCTCACCCAGAAACCAGGAGCACAGAAGCACCTGGCTCTCTTTGCCGCCGCCGCCACCTTGGTGTTGTCTTGTCACAGATTATTCACTGATAAGTGCTTGATCTCCTGCCCCCTCCCACAGATTGACCCTCTGACCGGGCCTCGGGAGGGGGGGACACAGGTGACGATCGAGGGCGAGAACCTGGGTCTGCAGGTGAAGGAAATCGCTCATGTGCAGGTGGCCGGAGTCCGCTGCAACCCCGTGCCCTTGCAGTACATCAGCGCTGAAAGGTCAGTGTGTGTTGGTGTGCACACGTTAAAGGGCGTGTCCCAGGCCTGTGCTGAGTCCCCTCTGTCTGTCTGCAGGATCGTGTGCGACATGGCCGAGGCTCTCCTCCCTCACTCCCCCGGTGGGCCCGTCGAGCTCTGCATTGGCGTCTGCAGCGCCGAGTATCGAACCCTCTCCACCCAGACGTACTCCTTCGTGGTGAGTGTCGGAAAAATAAAACCGGACTGTGTTTAATGGACTTGGGTAACCAGATCACTGTAGCGGCCTCCTAAACGTCATGAAACCAGAAACCTGGGTTCTGTCCCAGCTGGATTTCTGCTGGAGAACGGGTTTCTAACAGGCTTTGTACACTGGAGCATGTGCAGGACAAAGACCTTCATCAGGCAAAGTATCAAGTACTCAAGTTACACAAGTACAGTTCTGAGGTGTTTGTACTTTCTTTCTGTTTCCTGCTACGTCACTCTTGACTTCACTGCATTTCAAAGACACATACTGTACTTTTATTTCATAGTTGAGTCAGTACACATCGAATCGTCCTTGTAATCACAATAATCATTTTCCAACTCAAGTCCAACTAAAGCGTTTTCACATAAAAACTGCCGCACGCAGGACTTGAACCCATTAAACCTAAATGTTGTGCAGCAGTGGACGAGCTGCAGCAGAGATGGTGATGTTTTTGTGTTTCCTTTTCCTCCAGAGCCCCAGTTTCAGTCGGGTCCGTCCGGAGAAGGGTCCTGTTTCTGGGGGAACCAGACTGACGGTAACGGGTCGACACCTGGACGCCGGTAGCACAGTCAAAGTTTATATCGACAAGGAGGAATGTCTGTTCGTCAAGTCAGTTTGGATCTGTGCATGAATAAACTCACTGGTTAACAAATAATTACATTGTTTGAGTGTTGAGACGTGTAATATCCCCCTCCTCTTCCAGACGGACCAACCGGGAAATAATCTGCATAACTCCCGCCTCCTTGTCGGGCTCTGGCCCCGCCTCCATCCGTCTGATGATTGACAGAGCCCAGGTGACGAGCTCCGAGACCAAATACATCTACACCGAGGACCCGACCATCACCAGTGTTGAGCCCAACTGGACCATCCTCAAGTAAATCCTTCAGCCCCACATCCAGATCCTGCTCAGTGATAATCAATCAGAGTATTGATCTGTAACCTGTGTGTGTGCAGCGGCAGTACAGTGATCACAGTCACAGGAACCAACCTGCTGACCATCCAGGAGCCCAAAGTCAGAGCCAAGTACGGAGGAGTGGAAACAAATAATGTAAGAACAGTCTGTAAAAGGTGTGAGACACTCATTCATTCATTCGTTGATTTATCTTTGGATGAAGTGAGTGTGCCAGGTGTAGCCGGAGGCTCATGTTCATCTGCAGCTTGATGTTAACCATTAGAGCAGAGTGAAGCTTTACTGTCCCCACGGGGACCATTTGGCTTGCAGACAGCAGTGGGTAAAACAGAGGATGCAGCAATCACCACTGACGGTACCATATATACATAGTACACAGCACAGTCATTAATCACTCGTCACCGACACGGAGGATGGGGCATGGCTCAGAAAGCCTTAGCCTCGACAGACACGTGTCACAGTTTAAACAGCAGCTGCAGTGGAGCGCCTCCTGTGTTAACTCTGCCACGACGAAGCCTTTGGGTTAAACTCGGTGTGTACGGGAGGCTCAGACCTCGACAGGTGGCACGTTTACACCAAAGATCTTCAGGCTCACGTTCAGACCAGCAGATCAACAGGCCGTTGCTGAGTATGTGCACTGCTGGACTGCAGAGAGGAGTAGATGTGGGTTCGGGCAGTCAAGAACATCTCTTGTCACAGAAGGCAGAGTGAGGAGGTTCAGCACAGCTGTTTTTAAACATGTTTTCATGCCACACACCAATCAGACCTCTGCTTTTCCTCTTCAGTTCTGCACCGTGGTCAACGACAGCACCATGACGTGTTTGGCTCCTGGTCTGGTCTACGGTAAACCCGAGCCACCGGAGGGGGCGCTGCGCCCCGATGAGTTCGGCTTCATCTTCGACCAGGTGACACAAACAGTTCCATAGCAGGAGGAGAAGTTAGAGCTGCATTTATCTCATGTGATGACTGGCTGAGACCTGCAAAGGCTGTTCCCTCCAGTCTGTGCAGATTTTAGGTGCACACACACTCACGTGACTGAACCACTGCCCATAACAACTGGAACATCTGGCGGTAGACAACCTGCAAATCCTGTGAGATCACGTCAGTTGCCATGTGACCTTGTACCAAAACAAACATGGCCGTCAGCCAGCAGTGTGCAGTGTTTCTATGCAGTGTGGGTGAGGTCCTGGGTGGAGAGGCGTGGACCTCGTGCACTGCAAAGTCTTTGATTTAAAGCTGTGGAGGCCTTCACTCAGTTGGTCTCTGTTCCATCCAGTGCCCTTTCACACTGCGGTCCTTTTTACTCGCCATTACCTGTTTATTTAGCAGCACCTTACATCGCATCATCAGTCGCAAATATCAAACTGAAAAATCTTTCTGAGAACAAACGGCAGCGACTGAATCTGAAAACTTAAGATCAGCGTTTTTACTCAGCACGCACCACACAATTTTATCTGCCCCCTGTCGACAACAGCTGACCCGGACTAGAACAGGCTCGGTCCAGCGGGCGCCAGTCAGTCGTCACACTGCCCTTCATCATCAGCTCCCCCTCCTTGAGTTGTTTCCCAAGTAAGAGCAGTGAAGCCATTTTCTCTAATGGTTGTTGTAGTTTGGTTTGGTGCAGACCAGTAAAACACCCTGTTGTCTTGTGGTTCCGTTGTATCCATTAAAACTGAATCAACCACAGTAAAGTCTCTAAGAACCCGACTGTGGAACCTGATAGCAGCTCTTTACTGAACTCGATGTGGAAACACGTCCTGTTTATCAGCGCTGTTATCCAGACCGTAACCGGAGCTTGTCTGTCATTAATCCTGACAGACAGGTAGAGACAGTGGAGCGTTACGGGGCTGGTTGTTTCACCCAGTCCTGTGGGCTGCGTCCACATTACAGCTGATGTTTTCCCTCCTGGTGGCTCCGATGACCTGGTTGTTATTCTTGTGCGCACGTGGCTCACATTTCAGTTATATCTGTGCATGTGTGGCAGTTTAGGAGCTGAGCGGTGTTCACACCAGAGCCGGGTACATGGTGCTGACACACATGGACGGGAAGCAGTGACAAAACAAGGTCAGATCTGAGCGTTAAGGCCTGAGATGTGGACGCACCCCAACCCCAGAGTTCTGTCGACAGCGTTCACAACCAGCAAATGAACATGTGTGACCTTAAGAACCAGATTGTTGTTAATGGTCTGTGACTCTGGTCCTGTCCAGGTCTCCTCTCTGCTGGTCCTGAACTCCACCCCCTTCACACACTACCCAAACCCAACCTTTGACCCCCTGGGGAGCTCTGGGATCCTGGAGGTCAAACCGGGGTCCCCCATCATCCTCAAGGTACAACCTACAGGAAGTTGAGAATGAGACTCAATCTGAGGGATAGGACACCTGAACAGGTGTGGTTGTGTGTTCCAGGGTAAAAACCTGATCCCACCCGCCCCCGGGAACACCCGTCTGAACTACACTGTCCTGATTGGGGAGTCCCCCTGCCTGCTGACCGTGTCCGAGAACCAGCTGCTCTGTGATTCGCCAGATCTCACCGGAGAACAGCGAGTCCTGGTGAGTGATGGGACCTTAGCCCCGCCCTGTCAGTGATACCCGAACCTGATTGGTTCACACAAAACAACTCCTTAAATAGTGTTTCAAAATAGCTATTATGATTTTTAAAATGTCCTTTTAACTCTTAATGTGTTTAGTTTTTACTGAGACTGAACAGTTTGTCAGATCAGTCAATAAAGAGTAAAGGGGGAGAAATGAGAAGAAGAAGAAGATGAAATTAGGATATAGAGGAGATGAGGAGGAAGGGGGGACATAATAAAGGAGCATAGAAGGAAAGGAAGAGGACAGAGGGCAGAGCAGAGGGCAACTGAGAGGAGGAAAAGAAGGGGGATGGCAGAGGAGGAGAGGGAAGGAAGAGGACAAGAGGTATGGGACAAGCAGGAAACAGGAGAGGAGAGGAGACACAGGGACAGAAGAGGAGTGAAGGAGATGACAGAGAGAAGGAAAAGAGGGAAGGAGGAGGGGGAGGGAGAAAAAGGCAGGAGGGCGGAGAAACAGACATGTGTCCACACAACCATCCAAAGACACACACACACACCAGTTAACAGAGTTTCCTACTACACAATCTATTGATCCATTATTACAAATATTGATTACTAATCGATACAGAATGCCATGTTCCTCTCTGTCCTCAGTTCATATCACCTTCATCATTTATTCATCCCTTTGTTCGGGCCAACTCCTGTCTGTATTATTACTGAGATTTATGACCTGCAGAGAGGAAACGCTTTAATAAAACATTAATGCAACAAAGATAATTAATACACATATAAAGGTAAAAGATAATGGATCTGAACACATGGTGACAAAAACACATGGTGACTGTCTAACATGAGCATCAAGACTCAGTGTTCACAGCATGTTTATCGGTCACTGCTGTGTCCTGCAGATCCTGGTTGGTGGTCTGGAGTACTCCCCGGGTACGCTCCATATCTACTCGGACAGCGCCCTGACGCTGCCCGCCATCATCGGTATCGGAGCAGGCGGAGGCGTCCTGCTCATAGCCATCATCGCTGTGCTGATTGCCTACAAGAGGAAGACTCGTGACGCTGACCGGACCCTGAAACGCCTCCAGCTGCAGATGGACAACCTGGAGAGCCGGGTGGCGCTGGAGTGCAAAGAGGGTGCGTTTGTTACATCCTCCCACAACAAGAATTTCTTTAAAGACACTGTAAACCTGGTGGTCTTCCTCAGAGCGTCAGCCACTTGTTATACGTGTAGTTAAGGAAGGATTCACGTGGTCCAGGTTTCACTTCCCCCAGATTCTACTGGCAAAACCAAGTGTTTGGTTTATTGCAGAGAAGAGGGGGATTTATTTTCATCAGGACTTCTTATCTGACAACTAAATGTGTCTGGATAACTGTGGAAAAAGCTTGTTCAGAATCTGCTTTATTGGCCAGGTGTGTCGGACACACCACCATTACATCGGCTCTGGTTGTTGAATGCACTGAGAGAACGTTGGTGTGTGGTAGTGAGGAGCTGAGTGACTGGACCTGGTGCACTGGTGGGACGAGGCTGTAACCCATCCTGGTGTTCGGTGCAGCTAACTGTCTTTTTGTGTCCAGCCTTTGCAGAGCTGCAGACAGACATCCAGGAACTGACCAACGACATGGATGGAGTGAAGATCCCCTTCCTGGAGTATCGAACCTACACTATGAGAGTCATGTTTCCGGGAATAGAGGAACACCCGGTCCTCAAAGAGCTTGACGTACGTACAGCACCACCGTCACTTCATGCACAGAGCAAACAGAAGAAGCAATAGAGAATATCAGAGGATCAGAGCTGCTGTGAAAACATGTAAAACAGAACACCCCCCCTCAGTATCTGCAGGCCTGGGCATTAAGAACCCCAGCAGGAACCTCTGAGCCGCTGAGCTGCGGCATCCACAGCCATGAATCGGGTTTCCTCAGATCGTCATAACTAGGTGTGGAAGTAGATCAGTCCCTGGGTGGACGGATTTCCATGGCAGAAAGTGTCTGTGGTCCCAGTGGGCAGGGCTTTGTCTCCACTGTTTACTGGGAATCTCTTTATTAACAACAGCTTGTTCCTTTTTCCGCATCTTAAATCTGTGTCCTGGTTTAGATTTATTCCACTTTGCAAGGCTGTAAGGAACGACTCATCTGCAGATTAATGTGCAACCAATGTCCAAAACATAAAGATTTACACTGCTACACAACAAAGAGAAGCATTAGACTGAGTGTTTTTGAAGCTGTGATCAGCGAATGTTTAGTGGTTTTACTTGGAAAACACAACATATATGAGGTTTCTGGTTTTTCTTCATTGTGGTTGTGTTGGTCTCTCCTACACTAGATAATCACGCTCTAAGTTTGTGAAATAGAGTTGCTGGATTCGGTGACTTCGCTGTGAGCTACAGCCTGGTAACGGTTTTAGCCTGTATCAGTTCACATGTAGTCACAGTGTGTCCATCAGCGGCAGCAGAACGAGCAGTGAGCGGCTCCTGTGTGCAGCCGTGGCCATCCAGATAGCTGTCTCTGGATCACTGTGAGGCTGAAGGATTCTCAGGCAGGTTCTGCAGCTATAGGAGCATCTGTCAAGGCTGATTTATGGATTAGTATCCACAATACATCAGAGATAATGATATCCCCAGTAAGTCATGCTGTGTATCATTTATGTGGGTGTGTCTCATGTCTCCTATAAGATCGTTCCTATGTCCTCAGTCCTCGGTCAACCTGGAAGTTGTTCCGGTCAACCGAGGAAGTCTCTTATATCGGCTCTGAGAGCCAAAGAGCGAGGAGACATGAGACCATCCTTCATGAAGTTTTTGGTGAACTGGCCCTTTATCACAAATCAGTTGGTGATTGGGCGCTTCAGATGAAGGATGCGAGGAAAGGACGTCTCATGTCATTAATAAGACGTTTCCTCGAGTCCTCTCTCCTCATGTGTTTTACTTTAAGACACAAAGAAAATGAGTGAGGGAAGCGACAGAGCTGATAAGAGACATGAGATGTACCCGGTGTGTCTGCATGTGACTGCCTGGTTAGTTCATCTGTGAACAATTCATTTTCCAGAAGATGCCAAATCAATTCAACATGTTCATTAACTGTAACATGTAAAATATAGAAATATAAAATCTTCTCTTTGTGTCTAATGCAGACTGAAACATAAAGGTGTCAGATGGTGAGCACCTTGACTTTAAGGCTGTTTTCTGTTGGACCAAGGTTTCAGGGTTTAGTTCATATTTTGCCTGTTAAAGCTACTTGAAAACTTGGTTTATGTTTTGCACACAAACGGTGTTTTTCTGCCTGGAGCACCTGCCAGGCCGTGATTCCTCACATTATCTGCGTGTTTTCCTTCCTCCTTCAGATTTAGAATAATTTCTGCTTCAGTGAAAACAGCGACAGGAGCTTTGAGGTGTTTTGGTGCAGTAGGCTCGTGCACTCCAGCTCGTGCGCTGCGGTTTGTGTGCTGTGGCTCTCAGCATGGCTCCTGGCACGTGTCACACCTCTGGTGTCTGGACAGGAAGCCTGACAGAAACACGGACTTGTTTATGCACAAAGTGCTGCGCCAGTCAGACTGGTGGCTAAGTCAAACTGGTGGCTAAGTCAAACTGGTGGCTAAGTCAAACTGGCCCAGTGAGAGGATAACCAGCTGATCAGCCCCACAGCTGTCTACAATGTCACGTGACTGAGCTGGCGACAACTGTGAGGCTGTGTCAGGTATGTGTCACACACCGACTGTAACCTGTGTGTGTTGCAGTCTCCGGCCAACGTGGAGAAGGCGCTGCGTCTCTTCAGCCAGCTGCTGAACAAACCTGCTGACCTTCATCCACACTCTGGAGGCTCAGAGGTCCTTCTCCATGAGGGACCGAGGCAACGTGGCCTCGTTGCTGATGGCTGCTCTGCAGGTAGCTGCTCTGGGGCTGGGTGGTGGCTGGGTGGTGGGTGTGAATGTATTAGTAATTATTCATGCCTGTTATAAGTTACTGGTATCTGTGAGTTACTGGTTGACAGGTGTTTGTCACTTTTAATAACTTAACTGGGAAAACATCAGAATCAGAACCATCTTTAATGGCCCAGTAGGTTTGAATCGGACTCTGGTACAGAGGCCCTCAGTGTGTTTGTCAGGCAACAGGAATAGAAAATAACAATGAGAATAAAATGTGTGCAATCAAAAATTGGAAATGAATAAGAGGAAAGAGAGACAGCTTTTATAAATATATGTGCATCTATAAACATTAAGAGCTTCCAGACTGATATGTACAACAGTTCTATTTATGTTAATGGAAACCGTGTAAGTGTTTCTAGCAGGGTGGTTGATATTTGGGCTCATTGATATTGGTGTTAACAGCTGTTGGACAGATGTTTTGTGGCTGTCGTTACCTGTCACTGAGTGTCTAACAGTAGTTAACCTGCTCATGGGTGTTTCAGGGCCGTATGGAATATGCCACCGTGGTGCTGAAGCAGCTGCTGGCCGACCTCATTGAGAAGAACTTGGAGAACAGAAACCATCCCAAACTGCTGCTGCGGAGGTCGGTGGTCCACCTCTCACGCTTCACTTTGGTTTTATTTGTATAGTGCCAGGTCACAACAACAACAATCAAACTAACAGGTTTGACACAGGAACTTCAGCTCCTGGGCCATGTGACAGGAAGCAAATCCAAATGTCCACTGTCTGTGTTAGGTGGACTAAAAATAGAAATGATAACATGCACCAGAGATGGTGGAAAGTACATCTACTCCAGTGCTGTGCAGCCGCTGCGTTGTGTGTTTTGGTGCAAACAGAGCAGCGATCAGTTGACTCTTTCTCATGTGTTACATTTGGGAATAAAACATCTTGGGCTGTGGGGCTAAACTCAGCTGACCCTTGACCCCTGGCCTCTGTGTGTGTTCAGGACGGAGTCTGTAGCTGAGAAGATGCTGACGAACTGGTTCACCTTCCTGCTGCACCGATTCCTCAAGGTGTGCTCTTGAAATCCTCCCTTTATTTCTACGTTTCCTTCCTGCCCTCCTCCCTCCCTAAGTAGGCTTTCCAGTCTGACTGTGACCAATCAGATCAGGTCTGCAGTTAATTTATTCACAAGAAATGAAGGGGATTGGTTAAATCCTCCTGTGTCTGTCAGGATTAAGCAGTGGTAGTGACGGATCCCGACGTGACGTGCTCGGCTGTCTCTGTCTGTTAGGAGTGTGCTGGCGAACCACTGTTCATGCTCTACTGTGCCATCAAGCAGCAGATGGAGAAGGGGCCGATCGACGCCATCACAGGAGAGGCTCGCTACTCCCTGAGCGAAGACAAGCTCATCCGGCAGCAGATTGACTACAAACAGCTGGTAACACACACACACACACACACACACACACACACACACCCTACACTGAACAACTGAAGACAGGCTACAGAGTCCAGAGTCACAGGTTAACAACACTGCACTCAGTGCTGCAGCTGGTAAAGGTGGAGCTGATGGTAACTACCTTATATACTTATACTGGGAAGTACTTTCCATCCTGCTGGGTAGCTGGTGGATTTCCTACTGGGATCAATAGAGTCTGATGGTTCTACTGGGTTTGGTTTGATTCATCTGGTTCTGGACCTGAAGTTATCAGGTACATGTAGTGTAGTAAAAAGTACACGGTTTGTCTCTGACATGTGGTGAAGTCACAGGATGAAGGAGGAGGACGTGGAAGTACTCAGGTACAGATACCTCTAAGTGGTACCTCAGTACAGTACCTACTCTGTACCACCTCGTGTCCTGAGCTGACAGATCAGAGTGAAGGCATCCCTCCTCTCAGCCGCTGCTTATCAGGAGTATGATTATTAGTTATTGACTGTGAAAACCCTGCAAGTCACAGACTGTGTTACACACACCCTACCAAAGTGTGGTACAGACACATGACGCCATCCTCTCTCTCTGGCTCAGACTCTGATGTGTATCCCTCCGGAGAGCGAGGCGGGGACAGAGGTGCCAGTGAAGGTGCTGAACTGTGACACGGTGACTCAGGTCAAGGACAAACTGCTGGATGCCGTTTACAAAGGAATCCCATTTTCACAGAGGCCTCAGGCTGACGACATGGACCTCGGTAACTGTTCACAGCGCACACACATACACACACACACACACACGACTCGGTGTCACAGTGCACTTGTTCACTCTTTGGCAGCAAGTTCTTGTTTGCTTTATATAATATCTGAACTGCTGTGTAATCTATAGCATCAGGTTTCAATGTGTAGTTCAATAAACAGGTCTCACTGAGTTCATCTGGTGATAATTCTTCTTACATCATTTCCCCAGTAGCTAGTATTTGGAACCATAATCGAGCAGTACACAATGTACAGCTCGTTCTCCTGTCGAAGATCTTTAACTTGATACAGAAGCGCAGTTGATTCTGATCATTTAGATTTCCCAGTGTTTATGTGTGGTTTCCTGCTTTAACGGTTATTAACTGAACTGTACAAATGTCCACCCAGCACCAGTTGCAGTTCAAAAGGCAAATTCACAGTGAACTGGAGACATCAGCAGTGTGGGTCTAATCTGCCCCGACCTCTGACCTCTGCTGGGGCGTCAGCCTGTCACAGACATCAGCAGGACCAGCATCAAACAGCCGGTGTTGCTCTGTGATTGATTAAAACTCGCTGTTGTATCGCTCTCAGTCAGGAGCAACAAGTTAATGCAGCTCACAGTGGGAAGCAGAAGTTGTCCGGTCTGTCAGTGTACGACTGTTTGTGTTTCAGAGTGGCGTCAGGGCCGACTGACCAGGATCATCCTGCAGGATGAAGACGTGACCACCAAGATAGAGAGTGACTGGAAGAGACTGAACACACTGGCACACTACCAGGTACGAACACTCAGATCTGCCACCTTGAGTTTCATGATGCTGTGCTACAGCGTATAAAGCATAAGTGATGATATTAAAGGCTGGCAGCTTTATTTATAGAGCACATTTCATACACAGAGGCCAAGGACCACAGTAACAGCATGGCAACCAGAATAAAATCAGTGAAGACCAAATGAAGATAAAAATAACTAGACAAAGTAAAAGGTCTGAAACACAACTATCTGGCAGTTGCAGTGAGCACGTGCAGCAGAGGAACCAGTCGAACACAATAAAGGCAGAATCTTCTCTGAATGAGGCCATGACACTGTGAGAAACTCAAAACAGCCTTTTTTTTCTGAGAAGAAAGTCATGACACTGTGGGATTCTGCCAGACCAGGATACTGTGTAGGCCAGACCCAGGTCCGGATCCACTCACGCCACGGTTGGTGGCCCACGTTCACTGTTGCTGTTGGTTTCTGGTTTGGGGTTTGGGCAACATAACAGCAGTGAATTCTGTAGAACCAGTGAAGCTGCTACCTCACTGGGTGTGAGCAGCCTCCGCCTCTCTGTGGGCGACACACGTGCAGTGGATCCAGCCTGCGGATAAGAATTGATTGACGTTCTCACTAGCCAGCTGGTTGAAGGAGCGATCGGCTGATTGGTTCATGTGTCGCTTGTGTGTTGTAGGTGACAGACGGCTCCCTGGTGGCACTGGTCCAGAAGCAGGTGTCAGCCTACAACATTGCCAACTCCTTCACCTTCACCAGATCCCTGAGCAGATACGGTACAGCACACACTCACCTCAGCTCCTCTCAGCTCATCACCAGCCAGAGAAGATAACGTCTCTGTCTCTGTGTCCTCAGAGTCGCTCCTGCGGACGTCCAGCAGTCCTGACAGTCTGAGGTCCAGAGCTCCGATGATAACCCCGGACCAGGAGACAGGTACTGCAGTGGGAGCAGCACGGGTGTAGTGGTGTGTACATGTAGGTACACTCTACAGCGTGCATCCACCTCGGTCATCATCCACTTTATTATCCCAGATGGGAGATTGATTAGCAGGCAGGCGCACGTGGAAAACAGTCAAAAGCCAGCAGGCCGTCGGAAACTGAACACAGCAAACACAGCGCTGCGCCACCTTATCTGTAAAGTACTGCGATTCTTTATATTACAGTGTTCCACAAATACAAAGAGCAGCAAATAAGTGTATGAGGATCTGAATACTACTAAGCAGTACTAGTACACAGTGTGTACTCTGCTGGTTACCTAGTTTTTTTGTGCATTTCAGGAACTAAACTGTGGCACCTGGTGAAGAATCATGAGCACAGCGACCAGAGAGAAGGAGACAGAGGCAGCAAGATGGTTTCTGAAATCTACCTGACCAGACTGCTGGCCACCAAGGTGACGCCCAGAGTGGTATTTCATTTTAACGTAGTTCACACCGTCACAGGTGTTTAACGTCTTCACTGTGTAGCAGTCCTCCAGGTCTGTCCACTGTATCGTGCCTTCAAACAGTGTATGTGCACCACTTTCTGCTAACAGGGAAACTGTTGTTATTTATTACTGGTTCATTGTGTTCCTGTCGTTCCTTGATCCAATAATATGTTGTCAGTTGTTAATGAGTTTTTTCCTTCTAAAGTGAGATATTTCCCTTCACAGATTCAGATTTCCATTTTTATATTTTTATAAGCAAAGATTTGTCATTTAAAATAAGTGAAATTTGTCATTGACTGTCATTGTTATTTGGTCCCTTGCTTTGATCCTCCCACCACCAGGGGACGCTGCAGAAGTTTGTGGATGACCTGTTTGAGACGGTGTTTAGCACCGCCCATCGCGGCTCTGCACTCCCATTGGCTATCAAATACATGTTTGACTTCTTGGACGAGCAGGCTGACAAACGACAGATCAGTGACCCAGATGTCCGACACACCTGGAAAAGCAACTGGTGAGAGAAAATCCAAAGTAAAGATCAGACAGAACCAAAACCAGATCCAATATTTTACCCATGTTTCCTGTGTGTGCACGTGTATGTGCAGCCTTCCTCTCAGGTTCTGGGTGAATGTCATAAAGAATCCTCAGTTTGTGTTCGACATCCATAAAAGCAGCATCACTGACGCCTGCCTGTCGGTCGTCGCTCAGACCTTCATGGACTCCTGCTCGACGTCCGAACACCGACTCGGCAAAGACTCTCCGTCCAACAAGCTGCTCTACGCTAAAGACATCCCCAACTACAAGAGCTGGGTGGAGAGGTAGCGAACATGCTAACCAGCAAGAGCTGAGTGGTGATAACATGCTAACAGTTTACAGAGTACTGTAATAAACTATACCACAACCTGAGCTGAGAGGTAGCTTACATGCTAACCTGTTCATATACACAACATGGAGAGCTAGCTAACATGTTGGCCACACTATATGAACTGGGTGGAGGACACAGGACACATGTAAACAACCACAACAAAGTGACTGAAGTAAACTGTATGACTAAACTAAAAACTAAATCACTACAAAGTTATCAGAAACTCCATCAACAAGAGAAGTGGTGGGGCAGTGGTTAAAATGTTTGTATACTGTAATGAGACAAATCATATTAATTAGTGTTAACAAGAAATTGCCGGAGAAAAATGTACATAATTAGCATTAGGCAGAACAGTTAGAGACTTGATTACCTGAATAAAGGAACCTTCAATAGTGTCTTGTTGATACAGTTGTGTGTTTGTGTCCCTGCAGGTACTACAGGGATATTGCAAAAATGCCAAGCATCAGTGATCAGGACATGGATGCCTACCTGGTGGAGCAGTCCCGTCTCCATGGCAATGAGTTCAACACACTGAGCGCGCTCAGTGAGCTCTACTTCTACATCAACAAATACAAGGAAGAGGTACATTTTAGACAGTCACAGTGTTTGTTGGCCTGTAGTCCTTCCCCAGCAGCTCGCCTGATCCCACAACAATTTCTGCTGCTTACCGAGTCCAGATCTCAGTGGAAACAGGTGAAGCAAAGTAGCCAAAACATCCCAGTCACATCTTTCATATTCTTCTGTGGGATCCTGAGGCATTTGAGCTCCTTCTGGATGTCTGAGCTCCTTACCCTATCTTTAAGGGAGAGCCAAGATGCCCTGCAACTTTATCCCCTTGTGTTCATATCCTCATTGTCACTACGTAGAGCTTCTGACCACAGCTGAGAGTTGGAATGTACCAGTAAATCGAGAGCTTTGCCTTTGGATGGAGTCTCTTCTTCATGACAGTTTGGGTGTTGAATTTGTAAAAAAGACTCTGAGATGTTTGAACTTCTTCACTTTGGGTAGCAAAAGACTCTGGGGGTGGCTGTGGCTCAGGAGGTACATACAGCGGGTCATTCCCTAACCATAGGGTTGGCAGTTTGAGGCCCAGCTGCTCCACTCCAGACACTGAACCTGGTGAAATTATTGGCATGCGAATGTACAAGTCTATTTACTCCCGACCATTAGGGAATAGTCCACAGTTTTACTGTGGAGTAGCATGGCCTCACACTCGGAGGTACCGACTATGATCAGCGCTTGCTATTTGTCTACAAACCAGTGACATATTTCACACAGAACAAAAACTGTCAATAAAAAGTCAGTTGGTCAATAATGTGGGATTCATCCTCTGGGGACCATAAATATCTATAGAAAGTTTTCTGGGCAATCCATCCGGTGTTAATTAAAATCTCTGGACCAGAGTGTTGGAGTGACTGACACTGGCATTTATAGAACCACACTGTTATTGTGCCTAAAAACATCTAAACCAAATAGGCAGGGTGCATTAAAAGACCCAGGGCATGTTCTGTCCACAGGCTTCGATTCTGGACACTTGTTCTTTCATCTTGCACCACCCCTGTGACAAACATGGAAACAGCTTCATTACTCGTAAAACAAGCCGATAAAGCTTGTATAACGCCAGCGGGATTGTTTCAGTTCATAACTGTTGTAGAGCACACAGCAGCAGTAGCCTCTGAATAGGGACCGTATGCCAAGTGTTTACACCATTGATCAGAAATGTTTCAGAGTACCTTAAACTATTCTTGTTTATGGAGGTTCTGGTATCATTTCTAATGCCTTTCCTCTGTGTGTACAGATCCTGACAGCGCTGGACCGGGACGGCTACTGTCGCAAACACAAACTGAGGCACAAACTGGAGCAAGCCATCAACTTGATGTCTGGGAGCAGCTGAGAAGAGGGGCAGGACGAAGGGACCGATGGACTTATGGATGGGGGATGGGGAAGATGAACTGGGGAGGGGGATGTGAGGGTATTTTGTTTTTCTGAACAGTCAGCTAAACTGCTTCATGTAGGACCGAACCGACTGCCACAGCTTTGGCCCTTTAGCGATCAATCCATCGGTAATTTATTTGTCAATTGATTGATTGATTGATTTGAAGACAAACTAACTTGCTGAGACCCCAACTACCTCCGTTCAGTGGGGCTCGGGGCAAATCAGTTTCCAAACCCATTTGGATACATTTACATGACTTGAACGTGGAATGGAGTAATTTTGGGGCAAAACACAAACCTGCCGGTTTGGGTTGGGATTAAAATTCACTACCGGTGTTAAGTAGGGATGAAAGCGCAGGGGGTCTGGCTGTAGAAAGACCTGGACACTAGGCTGAACACTGAGTCAGGTCTCGCCAAACAAGGGATGTAATGTTAGGACTAATTAACCTGGCTGTTTTGAACTGTTCAGACGCAAGGTTGAAGAGCAAAAGCTCAAGTCAAGTTTTCCTCAGAGCTGTGGACTTCACCCTATAATGCTTGATCCAGTCTAAAGGATCAATAAACTAAGCGAATGAAAGAATAGAAAGTCTTGGCAAAACCACAACAGCAGACTTGACTTTACCTTAAAGACCTCATTGTAGTCTGGAAGAATCTGGGGTAAATCTCAGAAGGTCAAGTCAAGGCTTATTGCAGAAGATCAAGGCCTCATACTGATGTCGGTATTTTGGACTTTTTGTCCTCACCTTAAATTCCTTGAACTTGCCTGGAACAATCCGGAGTCACTGTAAAAAGATCAGGTCAAGCTTTGAGGAAGGAAGCATCAAAGTCAAGTCCTCATTTGGCATATCTGACCTGACCTTGAATGTGCTCACAAAGGATTTGCAAGTTTGTTTCAAGCTTTAAAGAAAAAGAAGGATACCAATAAACTGATGTCCCAAAAACTGATGACTTGACCTTGAAATCACAGTTTAGTATCAAAAGATGTGGACCCATGGTGGACAATAACAGGAATCTATCTTTGGGCTCTCTGAGCCCAGACAACTTGACTTGACCTTGAACTGTTCGACTAAGCCTCATCAGGATCTAGAAGTTTCCAAATTGCTGTTTTAAATAACCGCTCAATGCTTTTTCTCTGGACAATCACTCTGTACCACAGCACACTGAGCCCGATGCCTACCGACCGACCAGTACCTGTGTCCATACACCCGCCCTCTCCTTCCACCATCTTATTTTCTTTTCCTTCCTTCTTCAACACAGCAGAATTTCACCTCCTCTATCCTCCCTTTCCTTGTTTCCTTTACACCCCACTTGTTATTCCTTCTCCCCATAAACCCTGCTCTCTCATTGGTCAGACATGCTGGCCATTGGCCGCCCTGTTGGCCAGGAAGACTCTTTAGTTATGTACTGCCCGACCAAATAAGACTGTGGATTTCACCAGAAACGTGAACAATTAAGTAGAAATTAATATAAAACTAACAGAGAATTATGTTTTGAATACATTCCAGCACAGGCACACAAGCAAGGTCTGTAAATAAACAGGTTGACTCGCTGATTTTTGGAAGTGAAGAACTTCTGAAAGTGGACTGATCTGCATTTTTCAGGACCAGAATGACCTGGAAAATAAGGTTCTGGATTCAGCACCATCCAGTACTCTTTAATGCTGGTTGCTGCAGATGGCTTTACTGTCGGACCTTGCACATACACCCACATACAGCCATGCTTTACAGCACTATGCTAATTGTGCCCAGGGGGAAATACTGTGCAGAGCTACAAGCCCAGTGCCATGTAAAGACCGGACTGGATCTTAACAGAACTGGACCGGACAAGGACCAAACCCAGATCAAAAACAACTCGGAATGGAATTTAAACCAGACCAGACTCAGAAACTCTTAAGACTTGTGGCTTAAATTGTAAACAACAAAAAAAGAAAGATAATAATGATGGTAAAGTGTAAAAGTTAAAAAGAATACAAAAAGAACGAAAAAAGAAATATTGAGATGTTAACATGTAATGGGGACTTTGTGGATTTGACAGGATGGACTTTAAGGAGCTGAACTTGTATAAAGCTGATTGTTCTGCTACAACCGAGTCTGGAGAAAGAAAGAGAGCCAGGAGACAGAGTGAGGCCAAGCTGATCTCATCCTCACAGTGACACACCAGCCCAGTCTGGACTGGATCAAACTGGTCTTGACTGGACTGTACATGTTCGTGCTGTTTGGAACCTGAAGGAGCTGAACTGAACTGAGTCTCAGCTCTGTTTTTCGAAGGAGGAAACAGAAACTGCACTTTTTTTTGCCAAACCAGAGGTTTGTGTGAACAGAAGGGAGTGTGGTGTGCAGGATGGCAGGTCAGCCTGGAGGTATGGGTGGTGTTTGAAGGGGGTAAATTGTTGCATGTGCAGCTTCAGAAGAAATGTTTGTGTTACCAAGCTGTTGTTGACAAAGGTGGGTGCTTTCACACTGCCAGCTCAGTCCCACTTCTACAGCCTTTGTCTTTGTTCTGAACTCGGGTGTAGATGGAGGGACCGCACCTCCGTCCACCTGGTGATGGAGCATACCTGTTCCAAAATGGAGCACCGACCCAGGTGGCACTGGAAAACATGGACACTGAGTTCAGACCAATTGTAAGTCGGTGCGGAAAGCTCCTGTTCTCTGTATGAGTGATAGTTAAGTATCAGATGGAAGGCTTTCTAACTTGGCAGCGCTGCACCCCTAACCCCCGACACCTCTGTTCTGTGGTAGAACATTTTCACTTTGCGCAGCTGGATCATATTTCCTGCTCACAGGTCAGTTTTAGATGACAGTGGCAACAAAACCCGTTTCTGCTCAGTCCCCTGTTTCCAGTGTTTTACTGCAGTTTTCCTCCCAAGTTCAGAAGCGTTGTCTTCTAGGTCTGACTTTTAAACCACAGACCTTCTGAAGCGACTAACCTCGCAATGATACAGTACATTTGATTAAACACTAAGCAAGTTTCAATGATTTTCATGCAAGAAAGTAAAACCAGTTTGTACGTTACAGTGAAGAAGTCGCATGGACTAATCTGCATCTCACAGACCGGAGCAGCCTGAAAATCTGGCTCTGGATTCAGCACCTTTCAGTAAACGCTGGTCGCTGCAGATTGCTTTAGTGTTGGACTTTGCACATTCAGCCATGTTTTATGGCACCATGCGGTAAACAACACTGCACTCTGATTGGCAGCCCGTGCTTGCACCATTGTGGTTTCAGTATTTCCATTAGTTCAGGTTAAAGGCAATAATAGAAAAGACACATCCCCAGACTTGATTGTTCATTAATAGCGCTACATTTCAATTTCAAGGTACAACCCAGGTACAAGCGGGTGGGCCACATCTCATTTTTTTCCAGTTAAAGGGCATTCACTTTAACTTTATTTCACCAGGATACACCACTCAGGGTCACAACCACAAAACCACATATATCTGCATGTCTGTTATTGTTGACTTTGTTACCATATAACCTCAGGGGCCTCTGCAAAAATGGCAACTAGTTAAATGGTAAAAAAAACAAAAAACACCGTCACCGTCTTGTAAAAGCTGACGTGTGGTGTGAAAATGTTTTACCACAGTGGGGGCGTCTCTCTGTCGGCTTTCTATGATGCCATAAAGCTACAAAGCACCTTTTTTTCTTTCTTGCTGTTGTTTCACTGTCATTTGAATCTTTGGGGCCAAAAGGACCTGAGTGGAGGAAGAGGAGCAGACGGAAGGGTCCTGATTAAAGACTGCCTTTTAGATGATTAATTACAGACTAGGGAGGGAAGCCACTACCATACCAATACCACTGTTCGCCCAGCCTGTGTGTGTCTGTGTGTGTCTGTGTGTGTCATCCTCCTCCTGCTGCTGCTGCAGTGGAAATTCAGCCGTTAAATCACCGATCGAATCCACATCTCAATAAAAAGTCTCTTCTTTACCATCACACCATTTAAATCATCCATTCTGTACCTTTAGCTTTTGGAAAAATTAGAAAAAAAGTCTTACAATCGGCCTTTAAACCCAAAGTCAGCGGGCACGGTATGTCTACTGAGATCATTTTGATCACTGAGCATGATGTGATGGGAGTCTAGAGGAAGAGGGGGGGTTCTGTCAGTAAGAGTGAGCAGGAGGATCAGTGGAAAGGGGAGGAAGAGGAGGAGAAACGAGTGAATCCTAAGAAGATCATGTAAAGGGGGGACAGTGATGATACCCAGATGATATAGAGGAGGAGGAGGACAGACTTGTTTGCAGAGAGGAGAAAGTAGAGGAGGAGGTTCTGTTGATGTGAAGAAGAGGAGGAAAACCTGATGCAGAGAGTAGAACACAGGGGGCTCAGGATGAAATGAGGAGGTCAGATTCTCTTTCTGCATGCTAAAGTGTGAGGAAGGAGGAGGGGGGATGGAAGGAGACGCCACTGGAATACTGAGGGAGGGAGAACACTGATCCGGGAGAGAAAGATGGAGGCAGCGTCATCCGTCAAACCGGCCGAGGAAGGAGAGGTCTCTGAGGCGGGAGGAGGAGAAAATGGGTGTAGAGGGAAGAGCTAGTCCTGATCCAGGACTGTCAGACTACGTGTCCTGATCCTGGATGAGGAGGAAACCAAACATTTCAGTCGCTCACTCGTGCATATACTGAGGTACAGAAACAGAGTGTGGAGGGAAGGCTGTGACTCGCAGGGCAGAACAAACGTGAGGCTGGTGTAAAGTAACAAGCAGCTTCATTTACTCTGAAAAAGGAAAGGCTGTGCTCTGTTACTCTAACCTGTAGGCCGCCTGCACAAACACACCTGCCCACTGCTGCTGGTCCCAGACTGGACAGTGTGGAGCTGTTTCTTCACGTTACTCTGGATGTGTCTCCGGATCATTGTCTGACTTCTGAACTATGTAATATTTAATTTGGTGCGACACTTTGTCCCCGCTCACCGCTTGGACTGGCACTCAGCCAGAAGACCTGGCCTGTTTAGAACCAGCAGTAGGACTGGTTACCAAGCCTCAGGGCTCCCAGCTAAGAGGGTCGCCTGTGTGATACGACCTGATTTTACATTT